AAAAAAATGCATAATGCAAAGCAGCAAAATAAAAACAAAATACATTGTGTATGCTTTCATAGGATTAGACTCGAGCAGAAACTTTCTGACATTGCGATGTCTATATAAAAGCTCAGTATAATCCAAAGTAGCCATGAATGTGAGGGCTGCAAGACCACAGAAGAAAAGTAAGGATAACCAACTGACTTTAAACCGCATGATGAATGCATGACTACAACTAATGAATGGACAGTACATTTATAGAGAATTGTAGCTACGGTGCATAAATATCTATCTTAGATTGCAGAAGCAAACCAGGAGACACATTTTCTCTAGATTCACAAGCAGGTCAATGAACTCATCCATCTATAACAGTGAGCAAATTTCAGTGTACATACCTGTAATCTTGACCTAAACAAAACAACTGACTTGGTTTTTCCAAATTTCTCCACAGCAGAAATCACTTCACTGTGAGAGAGACTACTGACAATCCCTTGTAGCCTCACCATGGTTGGAGGGGAAGATTTAGCAGCCTGTGGAAACACAGCGAAGAAAAATATGAACAAACCAAATGCAGATTTCATCATGACAATTTGACTCAAAGTTTGTGCTTGTATAAATTTGTGTTGAAGGATTTCATCTTGGTTTTGTGGCATCAACAATCACGTCACTGTCACTGACCACATTATAAATTGTCCAAAACTGTCCATTCATGAAAAAAGGCATCATGTGAAGTCACCTTGGTCTTCTCTGTGCTAGGCCTCCCTTTAACTGATTCTGGAGATGCAGAACGTGAGGACGATGATGTTGATGGGGACGACTTCATCTTGGCTAGCTCAGCCAGCAGGGCAGGAGCCAAAGTTTTGACGACAGTCTCCAGGTCAGACTGTTTTGATAAGGACTGGAGAGCTAAAAGACCACAGGTACAAAAGAGATTCACACTTTGGTGGGTCCCAAGTCTCAAAAATCATCTACTGCTTCTAAAAGTTTTATAATCGTAGAAAAAACTATACTGACATTTTCTGGTGGTACTGGTCTTTATTTATAATTTGCATTAGTAAAAAGTTAATGTTGTGTGTGTGTGTGCGTGTGTGTGTGTGGGGGGGGGGGGCAACTTTGATCTTAGAAAAACCTAATGAGTACATACCAAAAAATACCATGAAGCAATTTTCAAACCTGATGTTTCCAGCAGTTTCTTTGCCAAGATCTTCGAGCTGCTCAACTTTCGCATAGGAGATGACCTCTCTGTCGACGATCGCCTCTCCCAGCTTCTCCTTGGTGATGAACGTTTCTCATCTCTTCTTCTCGGCGAGGATCGTCTCTCGCGTCCCCTTGAGCGTGATCGATATCGTGAAGAGGAAGGACGGTCATACCATGAGGAGTCAGAATGAGACCGGGACCTGAAAAAAGTATGGATCAAAGAACTTAATGACTCATAAACATCTCAAAGCACACATCCAGCATGGATACAAAAGGTAAATAGTCCACCAATTAAGTGTTTTTAAATTTACATTATTAAATAAATTACTTTTCGCCCTCTACACTGGAGAGCTAAATCTTTTTGATTGATCCTAGTTCTCAAAATGTATGTTGGACAGACCTGCGATTACGTCTGGAGCTGTACGGAGATCGTGATCGGCTTCTGTGTCTCTGCCTTCGGGGGCTGCGTGATCGAGAACGGGAATGACTAATTCGTCTGTCCCTCCTACGCTCCAAGTCACGGCGGCGACGTGGACTGCTGGAGCGGGAACGGCTACTTCGTCTGTCCCTGCTACGCTCCGAGTCATTATGGCTGCGGGAGCGGGAACGGCTACTTCGTCTATTTCTTCTTCGCAACGAGTCACGATGAGTGCGGGGGCTGCGAGAGCGGGAACGGCTACTTTGCCTGTCCCTGCTACGCTCCGAGTCACGATGGCTCCGGGGGCTGCAGGAACGGGAACGACTCTC